CTCATTTCTGGCTTTCTCACTTTGGGTTCTGCTGTTTTGTATCTGCCTCTCCTTAAACGGAATCACTCCACAATATGATTCAGTGTGTCCTCGAAACTGTCCTTTAGCTTTTGTTTGCCTTCCTTACTCTCCTTGCCTAATTCACTAAGCCGCAATTTGGTGACTAAGTTCTTTCTTTTTCTTTTTGGTCTTAAGTTTCTATTGCTACCAGCTTCAAAAAGATAGATCAGAAGAACAAGAATAGCAAATATAATTATTGAAGTAGTACATGTTTTTGAATGTACTGTTAATGAGTGCGCTTAAACTGCTTGTTTCTAGTGAATCATTCTAAGTCATACAGATCATCGTGCCCGCTCCCAGAACCCACGCATCAGGAGAAATCGTTTCTACCTGGAGTGTCAAGAAAAAGGAAGGTGCTGCTACTTCAGTCCCTTAGCCTAGAAGAAGATGATTTTAATTCAATGTTCAGCTATCTTAATTGAATGCCCATGAGTCAGACATTGTGTTGAGTACTTGAAATACAGTTATAAATGGATTTCTCCCTTGCCTAGTAACAAAAAGCATGTGCGTAAGTACATTAAGTGTTATAGGGAGGAAATTAGCCAGGCACTGGCCTAGGTGGAATGAGCCTCTGCAACAGGGGGTCATGATCTTAGTGCTGTTTTTGTGAGGTGATTTTTGAGTGGTGCCAAGGAGGAAAGTATATTAATGATCATTTTATTCCTCATTACTTCATTCTCTTTATTCTCCAATTTCCTTTCAGGATGGCTGTTTGCTTCGTAAAGGAATAAAGTTATATTTGAAATAATAATCTACATGTTTCTGAAATAAATATCCATTTTCCACTTGTGTTGTGCAAGTGCCGCTCTTGTTTCTGGGGGCCTTGCAATGACCAAGATAAAAGACATCCCGTCCTAGTACAAGCTATACTCTGACAGCGAGAAACACCAGGAACGGCAAAGCAAACTGAGATTTTTCTAGGTAGCAACACATTCTACAAGAGAAGCAAGTAGGCTGATGGGGTGGGTAATGTAGTGTGGGAGTTGGGTAATGGAGGCTGGAAGTCAGGGATGCGTCTTTGGAGAGGGAGCATCTGAACTGAACCATGAGTGAAAAACAGGAACCAGCATGCAAAGAGGGAAAAGGCCCTGTGAGCTTGGCAAGCTCAGGCAACAGAAAGAATGGAAGGTAGGTATCCATGTAGTGAGCAAGGGAAACAGGGTGAGGAGATAAGGGCATCAGGAACCAGCTGTCTGGGACAATAACAAGAAGGAGCTTGACCGGACTCTTGACCGGACTCTCAAGGCAATGGGAGACCACTGGGAAGTTTTACCCAGAGGCCTGGCGTTTCTAAAAGCTTTCTTTAAATGAATCAAAATGAAGGCAGGGAGGGAGCAGCAAGACCCTTTAAAGGCCACTTCTGGGGATCCAGGCCAAAAATGATGATGCTGATGATAGCTTGGGCCAAGAGCTTGGATAGACAGAAACGACGTAGGAATTCTTGATACTTCTAAACTAAAAGCATTCTTAATCAACTTTACGTTTCATCCATATTAGGGCACACACGTCTTAACCACAGGGCTTCTGCTTTTCCTGTCAGCCTCACTCGTCTAGAAAGTGTTGCTCTATATTCAGTGCCTTGTGGGTGCTAAATAAATATTGATGAAACAAACCAAGTAATGAATCATGTCTGCTCTCAGTGTGGGTGCTTGGAAATGTGGAAACACAGAAGTGAGCTGAATTCTCTAATCAGTGAGACACAGCTGGGCTAAAGACCATTGGAAGGAGGGTGGGGAGCTGGAGCTGTTCCCCTTCCTTCCATTCTGTGATACGTTAGGATTGGAGTGGTCATCTACTACCACGTCCCACTGGGTGGGTGGAGACTGTCCACACACATCCCACAGAATCCTTACCATTGCTCAAGGATGAGCCTGGGAAATGATCCTCTAGCCTGGTGAACAGGAGGCTTGCTGTTGGTGACCAACACCCCTGCCATGTGACATAGGCAGAGGATGGGGCAGACAGGGGCAGAGAGTTTGTAAGGAAAGCTCTTTATTCCACATAGAGGAAGAGGGAAAAACTCCAACACATAAACACGATTCGTTTTAGCAGGAATCTATAGCAGATTCTGTAAAGGGTCAGGTAAGTTGTTTAAGGTCCTCTCCTCTGCTGTAATGACCTCACCTCTGTTGAAGTCTGCAGGTGTAGTATGAAAGCAGCCATTGACAACAGGTGAATAAAAGGGAATGATTGTATTTAAGTAAAACCTTATTTGTGGATACCAAAAATCAGAATTTTATATAATTTTTATGAGTTATAAAATAGGCTTCTTTCTTTTCCCTTCAACTATTTAACCAGTTCTATGAAGAAAATACAACAGACTAGCATTAAAAAATACACACATAAAAATCATTCTTACTTCACAGGTCATATAAAAATAGACAGCAAGCCACCCATGGGCCACAGTTTGTCAACTCTCACTCTGTAGAGCAGGAATGAGGAAAAACTATCCATCTGCATTTTGTTAAAAAGCTGGCAGCTTCATGCAGTAACAATATTTGACACCATCCTTTTATTTGGCAGGTGCTTAATGTAAATGAAAATTCAGCTGTTTGTCTGGGAAGACATTTTCTGATAAGGGGGACTCCATAGCATCAGATGTCTCTTGAACACCTGCTAATTGGCAATTAGTCTCCCAACTGTTCTCCCAGGTTCCTCTTCACCCTGTTATATGCTCTAATAACATACACCAGGTCATTTGTTCTCCTTGAAACACTCCAGTGACTTGCCACTTGCATTTGAAGATGGCACAAAGGCTTACCTTGTCCTTGCCTGACCTCCTCTCTGACCACCCTCTCTGTCCGCCCACACCACTCTTCAACCTCAGAGCTCTCCAGGGCCTTTGTAGCAGCTTCCTTCAGCCTGAAACACCCCTTTCTGCCCTCCTAGGTTTTAGCATGGTTGGTCCCCCTCAGTTCAACCTTGTTATTGGTGCTGTCCATGACCCCCCAGTCCAATCTAGTTCTTCTTCTAGTCAGCTTCTATTGCATGGCCCTATCTCATTTTCTTTATGGAACTGCTCTTTATCCAAACTATCTTGTTAATTTAATTTGTTCACTTTTTTTGCCTTATTCTTCCCAGTAAAAGGTAAGCTCCATTAAAACAAAGTAATTTCTATCTTATCAATGCTGATTCCCCATTCTGAGATTCATGTCTAACACTCAGGATTATACATTTGTTGAATGAATAAAGAAAGGACACAGTTTGAGGGGCGACAGAATGTATACCCAGAATTGTGCTCGTCTATTACCTCATTTGGGAATGAGGGTGATGGTGTTTGATAGGGGTGAGGGTTGGGTAGGGGAGGAAGAGTATGGCCTTGAGAAATGGACAAGGGCCAGATGTTGGAGAAGCCCTTGGGCAATGCTCAGGTGTTTGCCCTTCATTTTGATGCCTATGGGGCTGGCTGCACTGGATAAAAGAATTCAGTGTGTTTACTGGAATGGTCACTTCGGGAAAAGAAAAAAAGTATGTATTATGTGCTCTGTTTACATCTATAGTACAGCAAAGGTCATACCATATTCAGATCATCCTTAACTTAAATGAGTGTGAAAGATACCAAAAAATGAAGTCAAATTCAATGAAAATGTTTCATGCCATCTACTCTCTTCTTGAGTTGGGGGAACTTGGTGTAGCTTTTGACACATTTCTGAACAACAGAGCTAGAAGAAAAAGTTTTTCAAGTTTTGAGGTGTTTTTTTTTCGTGTGTATGTTGTTTGACAGAAAAAGGCTGGTAAGTTTGCCTTCAGTCTGAAAGAAAATGAGGATATGGAATTAAAAATAAAACGTGGGTCAACTCTGTGTTTGCAGTTCAAGACCCAGTGGCCTGGTCCAACCACGGAAATGAGATCTCTGTATGAGATAAGCTTCTCTTAAAGTGTGTCAAATGTGGGAGCCATTTAAAAATCTGAAAAAGATTGGAGAATTTCCTTTTCCTACCTACGAATTTATCACCTTTCTTCCATTCTTCTTTGTACTTGGAACAGAAAGTTAACTTGCATAATACCTTCTTTTTTATTGAGCCATGGAGGAAGGTGAAAACAATGAACCTTCAGAAGCCAGAAGCCAGACCTGCCCCCAAAGTAGGGGAGGGAAGGGAAGTCTGAGGCTGAGGAAATGTGAGCTCTGAGGTCCAATGGTTATCTAACAGGATGACCTCAGAGCTGTCTTTACATCAGCTTTAAAATGCTCATGTTGGTGATGTTGGAGAGTACCTTTCTTTTAGGAGAAAGAAGGAAAATTTACCACCTGCCCATTAAGATCTGTTTCATATTAGATATTTACTAACAATTTTTAAATGTTTAAAATGACCACAAATGGATTGGTTAGGACACATGGGTGCATCCATAACTTTACTGTGTTTCTCTCCAAAACACATTTCATTTTTATTCATTCTGTTTACCATCCCAAGAGCGGTCTCTGTGCCAGTGAACATTGTCCTAAAAAGGGCATATCCAAAATCACAAAGCCCTCCATGAAGATGCACCTGCCTATCTTTCTCTGCCCACAGGCCTTATCATTTCCTTATTAAAGGACACCCAAGATTAAGAGTGACTTTTAAGAATTGCCTCTTTTGTGCCAAGAGAGAACCACCTTTGTCATCAGTTGATTACAGTTGCTTGGAAGCTTTTAGTTAGAAATGGTCTGAAGGAGGAAGTAGGCCAGGTAGGACAGTGGTTTGAAACCCATACGTTGGCAGAGATACAGGACTAGCTGGACCCAGGCAGTGCCCTGTGCTGCTCCCGTTCCAAGTGGCCACCTTCACTTAGCCCCCATCTTCAAATGTACGAGGTTCTTGGGCACGGGAAATTGCTAGATGTGGACTACCACTGCAGTGACTGTAATGTAGGGTGACCACAGGGAGGGCTGGACTCCCCTGACCCCCTAATCATCTTGCGGGCCATCCTGAACTTAGATGGCTTGAAAGGAGCACACTCACCGAGAAGTCGTCACTGGGGAAGAAGAGGAGATCTCGAAGGGGATCATTCTGATACGTCTTTTCAAGTTCTTCAATGATAGTTTCATAATCCAAAGGCTCGGGAAGCCTGGGTTTTTCTTGCTGTAGAAAAAGAAAACATAATATTAACCACTGACACATATAATCTTCTTAATGCCTGGTTGGGTTTCATGTCTTAGTATCACCAAGGCTTTGACATTGTGCAACCTTCCAATAGCTTCACAGAGACTCCAGGCATTTAGGGCAAAGCCACATAACTGTTATTTCCAGATCTCAAATAATAGGAGAAGATCCTGAAATATGTGACATCTCATTCAGTAATTCAAGCTGTTCACTGAGTCCTAGCACACCCATCGACTATAATTCTATGTAAACTTTACCTTGTCAATGGGAAGAAAGGTCTTCTGTTACTTGCTATAGTATTGTGATGATCATCATCACTTTTGCTGAATTAGATACTTCCTTGTGAGGTCTACTTGAGTGTATTCCAAAATGTTGGCTCCCTGCTAGCAATCAAAGTATCACAGGCTGTCTTAGTTGTCACTGAAGCATGGATCCTGTGTCAGAATTAATTGCTTGGCTCTGAGCCTTTTTGCCTCAATAGAGAGAAGCTGGATGATTCTCTAACAGAAATGAACAACATAACTATTACGGACACAGTGTGGTGAAAATGGAGAAGAGTCTGAAAATAGCTGTATAATCACATTGCATTGAAGACGTGAAGCTGAAGCCCTGGCTGTGTAGCTCATTGGTTAGAGCAATGTCCTGATGGGCCAAGGTTGCCGGTTTAATCCCGGTTCAGAGCACATACAAGAATCAACCAATGCATGAGTAAATGAAATAACAAATAGACCCCTCTCTCTCTCCCCTGCTCCTTCCCCCCCCTCAAATTTATACAAATAAAGTAAAAATAAAAAGTCCTTAGGCTGAAAAGAATGGCACTTCCTTCAAATAAGCTGCCCATAGCACCAGAAAGATAAAGACAATGCTAGTGGGAGAATGTGTGATTGTTTCATTATAGGGTTGGTGTGTTTAAACGATGGAGCCCAAAAGAAAGAATAACACATCACAGAATATAAAACCAAGGACACAACGAAGTTCCCTTGGCCCTTTGATGAAGCATTTATATTAACACAAATGAGAAGAAATGGCTGTTTGGATTATTTTAAGGCTTGGAAGCTGGAGTGGTCACCATGAAATTTGTATGCTAAAGTGATCTTGTAAATGAAAATAAAATTTGTGTGTTTTTTTTTTTCACGACAATGACATCAACAGTTTCCCACTACCCTCGTTCCTCCCCAGTCTGCAAGGCACACAAATTTAGCTTCCATTTCTAAGGCCTTTTTTGAAAGATCTCTGCTGCTAAAGCCCCAGAAATCTTTATTGACGTTTTAATAATTTCTAATGCACTCCTCAAAGTAGCAGTCAATGTTTATTTTGATGATTTTCCAAATATAAAAAGTGACACAAAACAAAATGTAACACAATGGGCCAATAATAAAGATTTCCATGTACTTTCTGCATCAAAATAAAACAAAAGGAAAATAAACCCATTTTACAAATCCTTAAATAAATCGAGGAAAATGTAAAGTGAATATTTTCTCTGGAAAGGGCCCTTTAAGTAAGATTGCTAGATGTAGCAAATAAAATTCAGAACTCCATGCAATATTTGAAGAAAAGAAGAAATTTAGTTGCCCAACATAATCTACTGAGTGAAAGAGCTGTGAAACTTGTAACATTTTGAAGTAGAAGTAGAGACACTATGGCACCAATAGAGTAATTAAAAACAAAATCTTCCTAAAATCAGTATCTTTTAATAAAAATTATTTTATTTAGACTTGTTTTAAGTTACAATTTCCTATTTTCCCAGTCAAAGGTCAATTCTAAGGATCACAAAATGATAGCTCAAGAGACATGCAGACCCCAGATGTTTGGTTTGGTACAAACATTTATTTCACTTTATTATTTTTTTGTCTTTATTGATTAAGGTATTACATATGTGTCCTTATTCCCCCTTTGCCCCCCTACCCTCCCACTCATGCCCTCACCCCCCTGGTGTCTGTGTCCATTGGTTAGGCTTATACAAGTCCTTTGGTTGACCTCTCCCCCTTACTTCCACCCTCCCCTACCTTCCCTCTGAGGTTTGACAGTCTGATCGATGCTTCTCTGTCTCTGGATCTGTTTTTGTTCATCACTTTATTTTTAGTTGGCTTTGAATGCCTTTCAGGGGTGGTATTTCACTCCAGTTCAGCTATGGATCTCCATAGTCCTTTTCTATTACCTCTTAACCTGCAAAACCATACATTGATTTTACCAACTGCCCCACAAGGCCTTCAAGTCTGAAACACCGGGCTTACTCTAGAATCTCTTTCCCACCCGAATATAGTTTTGGTATATTAAACATAGCAAATAAAATAGAATGTATTGTAAAAGCATCAGACAGTTCTTATCTCAGCCACAGATTTGGTTGGTTATGTCTCTTTCCTTTCTTGTATTTTCAGTTTAAGTGTGAGCCCTTTGGTCTCATAAGCTGGTGGCATAACTACTAGCATTTTCCTTCTCTCTTTTCTTCACACCACGATGTGAGAATGTGGCTCCTTGTGTGTTGCAATTGATAGATTTAAAGGCAAATGGCATCAAGATGTTTTAAGAGGCCTCCTACAATCTTATTTGCACTGTCTTCTAAATTTCATCTCCCATCAGCTACAAACTACAGCATTAATAAATAAGCTGGAGACTAGCAGACCTTCAAAGAAGACATTTTACTAGGGCACCTCTTCCACCTAAAGCGAACGCCACCTAAATTCATAGAATAGAAAAATTAGAGTACGCAAGTCACAGGTTATCAATAAAACCATAGAAAAACTAAATCCTAAACTCTCCTTGTTATGCCCAATAAAAGGCACAGCTTACAATAGATGTAAGCATCTATTGGAAGGTAGATTTTCATTTATTCATTTCAGGCTAGGACATACCAGTCAATCAATAAATGACATTTACTAAGACTTTCCTGTTTAAAATGCTGCACTGAGGTTATTTTGACACGAAGTTACAAAACCTAGCAGATCTGCTTCATTTAATGTATTCAGTCTTGACCTCTGGGCAGAGATATATTAGTTGAGTGCTATCTTTTCAAGGAACTTGTTAATCAATGTGTAATTTTCAGGATATTCAATGCATTATAATTTTTGTGGACATGAGGGTTTTTGTGTTTTTTAAAATATATTTTTTATTGATTTCAGAGAGGAAGGGAGAGGGAGAGATAGAAACATCAATGATGAGAAAGAATCATTGATCAGCTGCCTCCTGCACACCCCACACTGGGGATCAAGTCCACAACCTGGGCATGTGCCCTGACCGGGAATCGAACTGTGACCTCCTGGTTCATATGTCAACACTCAAACACTGGGCCATGCTGGTCGGGTGGACATGAGGTTTAAAAACGCAAATAACAATGATATATTTCATAGCATCTAGAGCCTGGGATCTGGCAGTGTTTGCCACGAATGCGTTATGATCTGTGATGGTGAGAATCCAGGCTATGGATCCCATAGTTCTCTCTGGTACAGGAGAGCTGTTTTGTTCAACACTTCAGTCAAAGAGACAGATGTATATAAGGATGGTGGGATAAGTTAGTTTCTCACTACAGCTGCTTGCAGAGACACTGAGTAAAACTGGGAACTGAGCAGCATTGATTTATAGCTTTACAACGGTTGGGTTTGTCCCTCCAGAATTTAATGTGCCTCTTTCTTCTGGAAATGCACCAACTGGGAGGAGGCATGTGCCAAGACTGCCCTGAATTGGATTGGATTTTCATAGTGCTTTTTACTCTCACTCTCTTTCTCTCAAATGAGTAATGAATTTCATTAGCTATTCTAAAACCACTCCAGGCCTGGGAAAAGGCACCCACCAGTACTGTTATGCAGCAGGGCTGGTGTTGCACCACAGGGGTAACAGGCACTATTCTTCCTATACAGTATTAAGGGATTTGTTTGTTCCACTTCCCCAAATCCACAGCTCTCCTCCAATTCAACTTCACAGCAGAAGAATGGGATCCTGTCACCAAAACAAACGCTCCCTTCCCTTCTGCTTATTCCTCACTTCTCATGGATTGCCAACACAATGTCTAAGTCCTAGAGTTGGTCAACCTGCCATCTTTGTAACAGCCAGTACTGCCAAGAGCCCTTTAATTGGTTTGGAGTAGTCGCTGGTCTATGCCTTAGCTAAAGATTCCAATTGCAAGAACATAGTGTCCATTACAAAGATCTGAATTGCTTTCATAATTGTAATTAAATATCAAATGGGTGAAATGACACTGAGGACTAAGCATTTGAAATATGTAACACTGAACAATTACATGATTAAATCATCAACCTAGTCCTGTCTCCAGAATAGAAATGCGATCTAACTAAAAAATAAGCTGGACTATGGAGCTCTGCTGTAGCAAAGTCCAAAATGAAAGGAAGAGTGTGATTATAGGTTTTCTGTATTGAGATGCAACTGAGAGTGTAGCATGCACTCTAGAATGAATGTTATGGGGTAATATTTGTGTGTCTTAGAACTGTACCACATCCACAGTGCTCATCACATAAGTGCCAAGTTTTAAATTTGCACTAGCCATGGGTTTAAAGCACTTCTATTGTAAATTTAATGTGTACAAAGAGCAAAGAGTAGGCACTCAATAAATATTTGTTGAGTTAATAAGTTTATATCATTTCATGCAGGAATTCCTTTTCTGGGACTCATTTTTTTTCAAAAAACCCCCAATCACATATATAATCAAAATTTATACAAAATTGTCTTTGCAACATTATCTTTGTAACAAGATGGGAAAATATATATTCACCTTAATCCAAGATAGATAAGAAAGGCAGGCAGGCTGGTAGGCACTATATCCAAAAAGTGAAGACACCATAACTGCTGCTCAAAAATGTGTGGTTTATATTTTTCAAAGAATTGTGTGTCATGGAGAGAGACTTAGTGCTACAATGGGCTCTGGGAAGGGCATTGAAAATAGGGTAGGGGTTGGAATAAAGCAATAAATAATTTCATAGTACATGCAATGGTTCCTCCTTGTAACTCTTCATCCTTCATTACAGTTC